TCCCTTCTCCCCCTCTCCCTTATCCCCCTCTCCCTTCTCCCCCTCTCCCTCTCCCCCTCTCCCCTTCTCCCCCTTCTCCCTTCTCCCTTCTCTCCCCTCTCCCTTCTCCCCCTCTCCCTTCTCCCCCTCTCCCTTCTCCCCCCTCTCCCTTCTCCCCCTCTCCCTTCTCCCCCTCTCCCTTCTCCCCCTCTCCCTTCTCCCCCTCTCCCTTCTCCCCCTCTCCCTTCTCTCCCCCTCTCCCTTCCCCTTATCCCCCCTCCCTTATCCCCCTCTCCCTTATCCCCCTCTCCCTTATCCCCCTCTCCCTTATCCCCCTCTCCCTCTCCCTCTCCCTTATCCCCCTCTCCCTTATCCCCCTCTCCCTTATCCCCCTCTCCCTTATCCCCCTCTCCCTTATCCCCCTCTCCCCTTCCCTCTCCCCCTCTCCCTCCTTCTCCTGCCCCTGCTCCCGGGGCGTTATCGTAGTGTTGGTGCTGACGGCGGATATGATTTAAACGTTCAATATGTCTCCATTCTGGGCTTTGTGAACGGAGTATATTGAACGTGTGTGTGTTCCGCTCTTCTGACACTGTTTCGCCCGAGTCTAAAATATTTTTGGTGTACTTGACGTGAGTGAAACTTGAAGGATGATGATGGGAGTGTTTTATTGGTTGGTAGGATGTCTTGTGGTGGTGGTTAGTGGCTGTTGTAGTGGTGGTTAGTGGCTGTTGTTGTGGTGGTTAGTGGCTGTTGTTGTGGTGGTTAGTGGCTGTTGTTGTGGTGGTTAGTGGCTGTTGTGTGGTGGTTAGTGGCTGTGGTGGTTAGTGGCTGTTGTTGTGGTGGTTAGTGGCTGTTGTTGTGGTGGTTAGTGGCTGTTTGTGTGGTGGTTAGTGGCTGTTGTAGGTGGTGGTTAGTGGCTGTTGGTGTGGTTAGTGTTTTGTGTAGTGGGTTAGTGGCTGTGTTGTGGTGGTTAGTGGCTGTTGTAGTGGTGGTTAGTGCTGTTTAGTGGTGGTTAGGCTGTTGTTGTGGTGGTTAGTGGGTGTTGTGGTGGTTGGCTGTTGTTGTGGTGGTTGTGGCTGTTGTAGGTGGTTAGTGGCTGTTGTTGTGTGGTTGTTGCTGTTGTTGTGGTGGTTAGTGGCTGTTGTTGTGGTGGTTAGTGGCTGTTGTAGTGGTGGTTAGTGGCTGTTGTTGTGGTGGTTAGTGGCTGTTGTTGTGGTGGTTAGTGGCTGTTGTAGTGGTGGTTAGTGGCTGTTGTTGTGGTGGTTAGTGGCTGTTGTTGTGGTGGTTAGTGGCTGTTGTTGTGGTATATAAATATGGACACTGTCTGTCTCCCATGAGCCTTACGGGCTATTCATGCCCGTGCCACCTCTTGGGTGGCTTAATCTTTATCAATCACTCGCCCATGAGCCAATAGCCCTTCTGCAGTTGCCTTATTTCTTATGATCTTCTCAACATGTTTGATATGACAACTGTGTCATGTGCTTCATCTAACAGTCACCTTGATCTAGTTTTGGTTACACCATCGAGAGTGTGTTAAAGATGTTTTGTAAACACACACGCAAGTCAAAACCACACACACACACGCTAAGAACACACACACGCTAAGAACACACACACGCTAAGAACACACACACACTTGCACGCACTCAAGCACTCAGTGAGGGTGGTAGAGGAGGGGGGGAGTGAGGGTGGTGGAGGAGGGGGGAGTGAGGGTGGTGGAGGAGGGGGAGGGGGTGGGTGAGGGTGAAGGTGGTGGAGGGGGAGTGAGGGTGGTGGAGGAGGGGGTGGGTGAGGTGAGGGTGGTGGAGGGGGAGTGAGGGTGGTGGAGGAGGGGGTGCGTGAGGGAAGCAGCCACACTACTGATCACAAGTAATGTCTCAGGAAGGGGGTCGCTGGCCCCCTTCACCTTGTCTTCCTGGAGAGACATAACAACGATAATGCTCCTTATAACTGCTGATTAATCCCCTATTAGGTTCTCCTTTTATCAGCGTCTCTCGTGTTCCTCTGAGCAGTGTAACAAGGAGAGTATAAGGGCATGACAATGAGGGAAGACGGTAGATGTAGGATCATTGGATTGTTTCCAGCCTAGGTTAGACATATACCCAACGAAACTCATGTATCAGAGCGGCCTCGTATGGCCCATTAAGCCTGCAAGAAAGGCGTTGCAGCAAGGCGGGGATCGAACCAGTGTCCTGGGCAACTCTCCAGTCACGTCTTAACCCGACTTGCAACCATCCAAGTTTAATACGTAACCTGGTAGCACTCTGGTATAAATAATGGAGCTCTCCACCAAACGTTTCCGTCAAATTCGCAATGAAATCACTATAACGTTATTTGTAGCAGGACGGGGGATCAAACTAGCGTCCTGGAACCTACAGGACACTGGTTCGATCCCCGCTCTGCTCCAAATATTTTCTCATAGAAATCAAACAGTATTGTGATGTCCTTGTGCAAAAGAACTTTTCTCTATTTTTCATATCCTTATTTGTGCCTGCAGGATCGACCTTTAGCTCTTGGACCCCGCCTTTCTATATGTATGTGCATATATTTACGCATATCTTTGCCTGGTAAGAATGTCACATATACTCGTTGAAAATCATTGCATTGAAAGCTTCACACATTGATGTGATTTGTTTGTTTTCAAAACTGCGTCTCTGGAGAGTCTTTTAAGATTCAGGCTTGAATAAAATTGCCCACGAGCCTCCTCCCGCGTCCTCACAAATGTATCGAATATCGAAACTGATGAAAAATGCAAAGCCAGAAGTGAGGTAAATATTTAACCTTTGGCTCTACATAAATTGTTATCTCGAGTATACTGGCGAACACTTGTGTGTAGTTTTTCCTTCGTGTTAGTTCAGGGAATATCAAATAGTATAACTGGTTTTGACAATAAAATATTTAAGACATTGATTCATCTTTATTGCATCTCTTGCAGATTAATATGTGTGCATTTTCTGTCTTTGATGTCTTTGATTTGATGTGTTGCCTGTTAGTTGTCAGGCAAGGAGCCTGACAGCTGAGTGGACAGCGCTTCCGGTTCGTAGTCCAGAGGTTCTGGGTTCGATCCCCGGTGGAGGCGGAAACAAACGTGCAGAATGTCTTTCACCTTGATGCCCCTGTTCACCTAGCGGTAAATAGGTACCTGGGAGTTAGACAGCTGCTACGGGCTACTTCCTGGGGATATATAACAAAAAAAGGAGGTCTGGTCAAGGACCGGGCCGCGGGGACGCTAAGCCCCGAAATCATCTCGAGATAATTCCCTCTGCATCATCTGCATCTGATAATACATCTCAAGAATCCACAAGATCTTATCTGAATACCCTTCATTCTCTTCCCGGAGGCTATGGGTCCCTACAATTGCACCATAGATAGCATCTCTATTTATCTTCCTATAGCACCTCTCCCTATTTATAGGGAGCCGGTAGGCTGAGCGGACAGCACGCTGGACTTATGATCCTGTGGTCCTGGGTTCGATCCCAGGCGCCGGTGAGAAACAATGGGCAGAGTTTCTTTCACCCAATGCCCCTGTTACCTAGCAGTAAAATAGGTACCTGGGTGTTAGTCAGTTGTCACGGGCTGCTTCCTGGGGGTGGAGGCCTGGTCGAGGACCGGGCCGCGGGGACACTAAAGCCCCGAAATCATCTCAAGAAGATCTCTCTATATATATATATGTATATATACATCCCTTATTTTTAGAAGTGAGAGTTGGGGTGTGTAATGTTCAAGCCAGGCTGTTGTGACTGGCTGTTTCCATCACATGATGACAACAATCGATTTGTTTTTGTTGTAACAATACGAATGGTTTTTAATTTATTACGCAAACAGGTGATTACGTGCACTCGGACAGCAGACGTGTCCAGTGACTAGTCGATTGATGTGCGTTTGTTTCCTACTACTACGGAAACGGGGGCCAGATTCACGAAGCAGTGACGCAAGCACTTACGAACCTGTTCATGTTTTCTCAATCTTTGGCTGCTTTTTTTCTACAATTATTAAGGAGTTAATGAGCTCCGAAGCACCAGGAGGCTGTTTATAACAATAACAACAGTTGATTGGCAAGTTTTCATGCTTGTAAACTGTTTAAAAAATGTAACCAAAGCCGTCAAAGATTGAGGAAAGATGTACACGTTCGTAAATACTTGCGTAACTACTTCGTGAATCTGGCCCCTGGTGAATGCTCTCATGGAGTTGAGACAAGTCCAGGTTCGACACCCAGTGCTTATTACAGATTGTTACCTTTCTGGAAGACTGGAAAGGCTCTGAATCACTTGTCTGGAAACAAAGGAAAGTTTGTTTCGTCAACTTTCAGAATTAATACTTGGCACCTGGTGTATATCTTATGACTAGGTGAGTATTTGTCTCTTCAGTTCGTGATAATTAACGTTTGCCGATCGTGTATTAATTATACACATTCTTCAAGAAGCAACTATACTTATTGCTGTATAGTTTGTGGACCTGGAGAGTCTTCCCTGGTCACAGTTTGGGTGCATCTCTGTGGAACTTCTTATACGTGATAATCTTGACTGTTTAACAGACGTGAGCAATCGCTGCTACGGTGTCTGCACCAGTCACTACCTTCATCACGGCAGTCGGCCCTCAACCAAATGGTCCCGTGTTCGATTCCCGCGACGGCACTGAAACGTTTGAGCACCTTTCCTTTAATTTAACAACTCTATTTAAAGCAGCGGCATCTAACAGCCTGGTTGAATCAAACCATCAATCAGAAGGCCTGGTCAGAGAGACAGGACCGCGGGGACATTGATTCCCAGAACCAAGAACAGGTAACAATAACTACTTTCACGGGACTTAGCCAGCTGTTGAGGTTGGCATCCTGAAGAGAAACGTCAGTGGTTGCCCTAGGTCTTGGGAGGTCTGGCTGAGCCTAACCACATTTCTCATAGGCTCATTTAAGCCAAATCTAAACTCGAAACATGTCCTCAACATGACTGAAACGTGTCCTCCTATCAATCGGATTTTCACTTCAATAAATAAATGATAAGCCTCCATAAACACATGAGAGGATGGGAGAGTTGATCTACACCGACGATGTTGATAAGGTTCTTCCCGAGTCAAATTCCCCTTCACTCAAGATGGGCTTCTCTTTACAGGTTGTGGCTGGCGGCGTCACACGAGGACTGTCAGGTAAGGTCATCCTTGGTTACTTCCGACCTGACACCTCCACTATACTCGTCTCCAAGGTACAGTACCAGCTTACTGGGGGGTAGTACCAGCTTACTGGGGGGTGGTAGTAGCTTACTGGGGGGTAGTAGCAGCTTACTGGGGGGGTAGTACCAGCTTACTGGGGGGTAGTAGCAGCTTACTGGGGGGTAGTACCAGCTTACTGGGGGGTAGTACCAGCTTACTGGGGGTAGTACCAGCTTACTGGGGGTAGTACCAGCTTACTGGGGGGTAGTACCAGCTTACTGGGGGGTAGTACCAGCTTACTGGGGGTAGTACCAGCTTACTGGGGGGTAGTACCAGCTTACTACTGGGGGTAGTAGCAGCTTACTGGGGGTAGTACCAGCTTACTGGGGGGTAGTACCAGCTTACTGGGGGTAGTAGCAGCTTACTGGGGGTAGTACCAGCTTACTGGGGGTAGTACCAGCTTACTGGGGGTAGTACCAGCTTACTGGGGGTAGTACCAGCTTACTGGGGGGTAGTACCAGCTTACTGGGGGGTAGTAGCAGTTACTGGGGGGTAGTAGCAGCTTACTGGGGGGTAGTACCAGCTTGCTGGGGGTAGTACCAGCTTACGGGGGTCTTACCAGCTTACTGGGGGGGGGGTAGTACCATCTTACTGGGGGCAGTACCAGCTTACTGGGGGCAGTACCAGCTTACGGGGGGCAGTACCAGCTTACTGGGGGGTAGTAGCAGCTTACTGGGGGTAGTAGCAGCTTACTTAGGGGGTAGTACCAGCTTACTGGGGGGTAGTAGCAGCTTACTGGGGGGTAGTAGCAGCTTACTGGGGGGGTAGTACCAGCTTGCTGGGGTAGTACCAGCTTACGGGGTCTTACCAGCTTACTGGGGGGGGGGTAGTACCAGCTTACTGGGGGCAGTACCAGCTTACTGGGGGCAGTACCAGCTTACTAGGGGGTAGTACCAGCTTACTGGGGGGTAGTACCAGCTTACTGGGGAGTAGTACCAGCTTACTGGGGGTAGTACCCGCTTACTGGGGGGTAGTACCAGCTTACTGGGGGGGTAGTACCAGCTTACTGGGGGGTAGTACCAGCTTACTGGGGGGGTAGTACCAGCTTACTGGGGAGTAGTACCAGCTTACTGGGGAGTAGTACCAGCTAACTGGGGAGTAGTACCAGCTTACTGGGGAGTAGTACCAGCTTACTGGGGAGTAGTACCAGCTTACTGGGGAGTAGTACCAGCTTACTGGGAGTAGTACCAGCTTACTGGGGGGTAGTACCAGCTTACTGGGGGTAGTACCAGCTTACTGGGGGGTAGTACCAGCTTACTGGGGGTAGTACCAGCTTACTGGGGGTAGTACCAGCTTACTGGGGGTAGTACCAGCTTACTGGGGGGTAGTACCAGCTTACTGGGGGGTAGTACCAGCTTACTGGGGGGTAGTACCAGCTTACTGGGGGGTAGTACCAGCTTACTGGGGAGTAGTACCAGCTTACTGGGGAGTAGTACCAGCTTACTGGGGGGGGGGGTTAGTACCCGCTTACTGGGGAGTAGTACCAGCTTACTGGGGGGGGGGTTAGTACCCGCTTACTGGGGAGTAGTACCAGCTTACTGGGGAGTAGTACCAGCTTACTGGGGAGTAGTACCAGCTTACTGGGGAGTAGTACCAGCTTACTGGGGAGTAGTACCAGCTTACTGGGGGGGTAGTACCAGCTTACTGGGGGGTAGTACCAGCTTACTGGGGAGTAGTACCCGCTTACTGGGGAGTAGTACCCGCTTACTGGGGAGTAGTACCAGCTTACTGGGGAGTAGTACCAGCTTACTGGGGAGTAGTACCAGCTTACTGGGGAGTAGTACCAGCTTACTGGGGGGGTAGTACCAGCTTACTGGGGGGGTAGTACCAGCTTACTGGGGGGGTAGTACCAGCTTACTGTTGGGGTAGTACCAGCTTACTGTTGGGGTAGTACCAGCTTACTGGGGGGGTAGTACCAGCTTACTGGGGAGTAGTACCAGCTTACTGGGGGGCAGTACCAGCTTACTGGGGGGCAGTACCAGCTTACTGGGGGGCAGTACCAGCTTACTGGGGGGTAGTACCAGCTTACTGGGGGGTAGTACCAGCTTACTGGGGAGTAGTACCAGCTTACTGGGGGGGGTAGTACCAGCTTACTGGGGGGGGGGGTAGTACCAGCTTACTGGGGGGGTAGTACCAGCTTACTGGGGGGGTAGTACCAGCTTACTGGGGGGTAGTACCAGCTTACTGGGGGGCAGTACCAGCTTACTGGGGGGGCAGTACCAGCTTACTGGGGGGGCAGTACCAGCTTACTGGGGGGGCAGTACCAGCTTACTGGGGGGCAGTACCAGCTTACTGGGGGGGGCAGTACCAGCTTACTGGGGGGGCAGTACCAGGTTACTGGGGGGGCAGTACCAGCTTACTGGGGGGGGGCAGTACCAGCTTACTGGGGGGCAGTACCAGCTTACTGGGGGCAGTACCAGCTTACTGGGGGGCAGTACCAGCTTACCGGGGGGCAGTACCAGCTTACCGGGGGGGCAGTACCAGCTTACTGGGGGGCAGTACCAGCTTACTGGGGGGCAGTACCAGCTTACTGGGGGGCAGTACCAGCTTACAGTACCAGCTTACTGGGGGCAGTACCAGCTTACTGGGGGCAGTACCAGCTTACAGACTTGAGGTGTTGCGAGTGAGCTACCCTCACCCAGTCCTCCCCTCACTGTTGAAAGGCTCGCCTAGTCCTCCCCTCACTGTTGAAAGGCTCGCCTAGTCCTCCCCTCACTGTTGAAAGCCTTACACAGTCACCCTCCCCGCCCTTTCACTATTCAGACTTATTCACCGCCTTGTCAGTGACACAACAACAATTTTACGCTAGGTTAGCGGACGTGTTATTTTTTAAATGCTCAATCTGTCGCTTGACAATGTTAGCATGTTTTGTTGTGGACTGTGAGCAGTTCATATGTTGCGCACACACACACACACACACACACACACACACACACACACACACACACACACACACACACCACACACACACACACACACACACACACACAACATTCTATCACCAATCTCGTGGCTGCTCTCACAAAGCAGGTCTCCAAGCGCCATGCACAGACTGCTTACCTGCCAGACCCACTCAGGGAAGATGACAATAATGGCGGACAAGCACTCGCAAAACACGGCTTGGAAAGCGCCTCATCAAAAGCACACGTCCCTCTTGGCTTGGCTTGGTTAAAAGAACCAAAAAAAAAAAAAAAAACACCCGTCGAAAGAGACTGTCTACCTCGGCAGGAAGTGGAGGAGGTCCTCGAGGGACACCCTGGCACTTCCTGCATGGTGTGTCTTGAGGGCTATTGTGTGGCTGGGCCGCTGCTCGTCCTCGAGAGGATTTTGGAGGGTGATTTGGAGGGCGAGAGAGCACGCGCGGCGGTGACTTGTGAGATGCCTGCCGCAGGGCCGCGGTGTGGGACTCCCAGAGCCGCGGTGTGACCGCTGGCGGGAAGGGAGGGCAGTGAGATGTGGCTCCTGATACCTGGTTGATGGGGTTCTGGGAGTTCTTCTCCCCAAGCCCGGCCCGAGGCCAGGCTTGACTTGTGAGAGTTTGGTCCACTAGGCTGTTGCTTGCAGCGGCCCGCAGGCCCCCACAGCCCGGTTTCTCGCTTGTGTATGACACGGTATACACACGTATGTGGTGTATACACATGTACGTGAATGACAACATGCACATACACGTGTGAGTGTTCAGTTACACCAAATTATTCCACAAAAATTAAAGTCCTCCATTACACAAACACTGACCTATGTTATTTTGAGATGATTTCGGGGCTTAGTGTCCCCGTGGCCCGGTCCTCGACCAGGCCTCCACCCCCAGGAAGCAGCCTGTGACAGCTGACTAACTCCCAGGTACCTATTTACTGCTAGGTAATAGGAGCATCAGGGTGAAAGAAACTCTGCCCATCGTTTCTCGCCGGCGCCAGGGATCGAACCCGGGACCACAGGATCATGCGTCTAGTGTTCTGTCCGCTCAGCCACCGGCTCTGGCTCGAATGTTCGACCCATTCATGCCCTGGTTCCATTGTGTCAAAGTTTAATGTATTTAACTCCTGTTATTAGATTATTACTTTTTACAGAGCCAAATATATCTGTGTTGCTCAGTTTGGGTTCCTTCTTTGACAGTACCTTTTGGTTGGTACCCACGACACGGGTACTTCCCTAGTTGTACTTGCGGGGGGTTGAGCTCTAGCTCCTTGGTCACTTGACACTGTGCCAGTGTCACGTCAGTGTCATTCCCCCACGAGGAATCTTGCAATATATTAAACAGACTCGGAATGGCTTTTGTTGCATATTGTTCTTACTATAATGTCAAACATTAATCAATGATTTCCACAAAAGTTTCTAAAAAATTCTATCATATCATACTTGTAATAAGTATTTATGATGTCAGGACTATTACCACCCTGCTAACCCACCGTCCCGCCGCCTTGTATCACCGTATTACTCTGGAAAAGAGAAAGATAGTTATACAGATAACTTAGAGATAAACTAACCTTAGCACACCTATATATATATAGGCTTATACTTGGCTATATATATATATATATATATATATATATATATATATATATATATATATATATATATATATATATATATATATATATATATATATATGTCGTACCTAGTAGCCAGAACTCACTTTTTGGCCTACAATGCAAGGCCCGATTTGCCTAATAAGCCAAGTTTTCCTGAATGAATATATTTTTTCTAATTTTTTTCTTATGAAATGATAAAGCTACCCATTTCATTATGTATGAGGTCAATTTTTTTTTATTGGAGTTAAAATTAACGTAGATATATGACCGAACCTAACCAACCCTACCTAACCTAACCTAACCTATCTTATAGGTTAGGTTTGGTTTGGTAGCCGAAAAAGTTAGGTTAGGTTAGGTTAGGTAGGTTAGGTAGTCGAAAAACAATTAATTCATGAAAACTTGGCTTAT